CTTCTCCATACTGACTTGAAAGCACACACACAATTGTGGAACCAATTAATGAGGAGTACAGAGCTAACACTGTAAATGGAATTTTATTACATTTCCATGCTGCTCATGTTGCTGATACAGCAACTCTGCACAGCTTACAGTCTAATAAAAACTTTAAAAAATAATTAAAATTAGAAAAAAATGTATAGAAAATTTGAAAACCAAGGAACCCCTATTACTGAGCTACAAATATTCTCCTTTATGAGCCATGGTGATGCAGTGGTTTGAGTGCAGTACTGCAGGCTCCTTCTGCTGACTGCCGGCTGCCTGCAATTTGGCAGTTTGAATCCCACCAGGCTCCAGGTTGACTCAGCCTTCTGAGGTGGGTAAAATGAGGACCCAGATTTTTGGGGCCAATAGGCTGACTCTGCAAACCGCACAGAGAGGGATGGAAAGCACTGTGAAGCAGTATATAAGTTTAAGTGCTATTGCTTTATTGGAATCAATTCTGTGCTTGCTATTATATAATTATTAAAATTGTTTTCATTGCTGTCACTAAAAATGTCCTTATTGTTTAGCATTGGTAAACATTATTGCTACTTCTACTTTATTAGTAAACAGTAAATTATGTATAAAGTATCTACTGGCCACCATCACAGTTACTAGCACCTCAACTGTCCAGGCATCTTTATTATGAGCACTCAGAAAGAATCATTAATACTCAACTAGCCATAGGTTCTGGAAGAAATTCTCCTCAATAAAACACTGATTTGACTCCATTTAATTCTGCAGCTTAAAACAAGGGGAAAAAACCCCAAGAGCGAGCAACTCATGTTAGTGGTTAAGAGCTGGTTAGAGCCGTAAAAGGCCTATCCGAAAGCCTCCTGTCAGAAGAAGCTCTGCAAGGGCCCAGAGGAAGAGTCTCCTCCGCAAGGTCTCCTCTGCTTTCAGCCCAGCAATACAGGGCAGCAGTCAGTGAGGGAATGTCACTAGTGACTTAAAGGGGCAAAGAAGATGCACCAAACTCTGGCTTATCATGTCAAGGGACTTTAGAGGCCACATTAAAACAGTTTCTAATCAATCTGGGGCCATTTTTGTTTGTTTTCTTTTTCTAAGTGTGAGCTATTATAAAAATGATAGTCCTCAATTGTCTTTTATTTAGGAAAACCAGACAGAACCCTTCCTCCCAAAGCCTGGTTTCCAGACTCTTGAAATGGGCTTTGACCAAGATAAATCAGCATGTATCTTACAACAATCTTCACCCCTTTCTGGTGAAAAGGGGCAACTCTGGGTGCCAACGAAGTCTACAGTTGCCATCAGCTTAGCAGGCCCAGGGGACTTGTTAGAAAACTTTGTATCAAAAAGCAAGGCTAATCTACAGAAACCCTTAGTTCTTGGGATCATGACATAGCAAGAAATGTTTGGGAACAAAAAATAGTTTGATATAATGGACTTATTGAACATATACAATGTCAAGATTGCAATATAAATTGCATTGTTTCAGTTTTCTGCTTTTAATCCAAAGAAGGAATTATTTTCTCACCTAAAAGAGAATGTGGGTGACAAACAAGTGGAGTTTCAAATGTAAGAGAATAAACACAAGTGCTTGGTTCAGATACTTGAGCCAATCTATTGTTTTTTCCACATACAAGAAGTACCTGTAAAGCAGAGATTTGAGAACTTACAAACAGAATTCATAAATTTAACTAATTCCCCTAAATCACATACCAGTAAAGAGAGACCTAATATAATCTGCTCAATGAATATTTGACAGATAAGGAGAAACATTCTATGTATTACAGCTAAGCTGTTGCAAACTTATTCAGTGATGAATAATATATTTACATCCTAAATAAATAAAGTATAACTAACTAGATTATACAAAAATAATGTTTGTTGAAATATGAAGTGAAGTATTGAACTAGGAGCAAGCAGGCTCAGAATCTAGTCCATTCTCAGCTGCAAAGCTCATTGGGTAACTCTCGGCTAGTTCTATTCTCAGCTCACCTTACCTTCACAGGATTATTACAAGAAAAAATACCAGGTGGTGACAGTAATATGCTGCTTAAATTGCTTGTAAAAGGCAGGATACAAATCAAATAAATAATCTAGAATGGAAAAATATGTTGGCTTCTTTATTATGTCAAATTCTTTACCTTTGTTTCTCTATTTTTTGGTCCGCAAGAATCTCCTTCTCTCATCCACATACCAACAAAAGTGTTGTTTTCAATTTCCCATTCATGCCAGATTCTAGGAAATTAGAATAATATACTTCAGATATTTCAAAGGCCACTGGCAGTTTGATTTCAAGCCCAATTTTAGAACAGTCTGCTTAGATCACCCTTTTACTAGGGGGTGAATCAGGATCAAGCCTTTGTTTATTCATCTGGATCTCTCTTTGATACTAAAAAACAATTGTATCATTTTAGCAGGTTTACTTCCACTCATAGATGCTGATTTTAGAAAGGAATACTAATAAGAGCTACTCTTTGTATCTGCAAATTTAAAGAGTCTTGCAGTGTTTTATCTTATATAGTACCCAGAGCAGGAAAATATAGCATTAATCCAAGAATCAGAAGTGAAGTGCAGTTGACATTTGATGCTTCTCCATTTCATTTATATGAAGTCATACTGTAGAAATATTGAATTTAGGGATGTAAATCGTAATAGGCCAAATTGACTTGCAACTTAGATTTGTCTGATTAATCTCCCCTTAGTTCAAGGAGCACAAAACATCTTCTCACTGTTATGAAAATTAGCAATGCACTTTATTGTGCAAAATCCTTAAAATGGATAGTTCTCCTGAAGAGAGAAAAGAAGGGAAGTCTAGAAATTCAAAGTTCTTTTGACAGCACCATCCCTTAAGACAGGGGATTTACTTCTAGAATCCTCCATTCCCTAATTGGCTGTTGACCTTCTGTCAGAAGTACAGATGAAAACACTACCTGTGCTCCTATCTCTTTGGCTTCCATGCATTGCTCCTCATAGTCTCTTGATACTGTTTTCAGGCTCATTTGCCCCAACGTGAAAGATGATATAATAATTGGTGGGCTTAATTAATTTTCATCTGGTACTGTTTTAAAACACTGCCTTCAGCCCTGGCTTTCTAACGGACTTTTTCCAAACAACCTTTTGCCATTTGTAGCTGCAACCATATTTGCAAAAACTGTCTTCCCGCCACAATTCCTACCCCTCACTTCCACTTGAGTGTTTGGGTAGTTGGTTACATTACACAACCCCATGAATTACATCCCTAAAAATGACTGATTATACAAAACAGAATAACACAGTTGGAAGGGATCTTGGAGGTCTTCTAGTCCAACCTCTGTTCAAACAGGACTCTATACCATTTTAGAAAAATGGGTTGTCTAATCCTTTCTTTAAAAAGCCTCCAGTGATGGAGCACCCACAATTTCTAAAGGCAAGCTGTAACACCGACTAGCTGTCAGGAAATTCCTCCTTAGTTCTAAGTTGCTTCTCTCCTTGATTAGTTTCCATCCATTCATTGCTCCATTTCCTGGTTTCAGGTGCTTTGCAGAATAGTTGAAACCTGCCCCCTTTCCAAAAATGACAGACCTTTACTCTGAAATAATATAACTTAATTCAGGTTTGCTTTAATTAAATCAAATGGGTTCTGGATACCTAAATGAGCAATGAGTACATGTTTGGTAATTATCAACCAGTAGCTTTAATTTATCCTCTTTAGGCGAAGCCACACATACCTATATTCATTCTTAAGCTGGGGAAAAAAGATAGCTGTTAGCTATTGACCAATCTCATAGTCTTAAAACTATCACTTCCCCTCAGCCTCATTATAAAACTAAGTATTCTTTTACAGGTAGCAAACTTACATGAGATGAAACTGTAGAACATGCTTAGGAAATGTAGAAGTCATGGTGTTATTCTGTATCGTTTCCATGCAATGTTTCTATCTTATCATTTTATCATCATCAAACTGGGAATTTTAAGCATCCCTTTAAACCAGGGGTCTTCAAACGTGGCAGCTTTAAGACTTGTGGACTTCAATTCCCAGAATTCCTCCTCCAGTCAATGTCAGCTCGGGAATTCTGGGAGTTGAAGTCCACAAGTCTTAAAGCTGCCACATTTGGAGACCTTCTGCCTGAGACAGACAACAGGGAAGAGACGGGGGGCTGTGGAGCTGGATCCTTGCTTACCCGAGAATCCCGCTGTAGGCATTCCACCGGAACGTTTGCTCGTGTTGGGTGACGTTATAAAATGGGCAGAACTCGTATTTATACCTGGAATTTCAAAACAAGCCAGAGATTTATCTCCAGTTTTTAGAAGGTTTTTTAAAACGCACGTCCGGCTAAAGCCTTACTTACGTAGATTCCACGTAACCAAAGCACCTGCCCGCCAGCCTAAGAAGATGCTCGGGCCCTGGAGAAGGAAGCGGTTTAAAACCCATGAGGGATTCCGCAAAAGGCCGGGCTCGAAGTGACTCTGCAGCTCGGGACCCTCCCCCCGCCCGGCTCACCTGAGACCGGGGAGGGCGCCGCTTTGGGCTGGAGCCGGTTGGAAGGAGGCAGGAAGGGGTTGTTCAGCCTTCTCGGGGGAGGGGAGACAGAAAGAGAAGCCTTCAGAACCGCGGGGGCGAGGACCAAGCGCCGCCCAAGCCCGCAAGGCCGAGGGCCGCCCTGCCCGCCGCCGCCTCACCCGAAGCTGTTGGGCTCCTCCACCACCTTCATCTTCCCGGCGGCCGCGAGTCCTGGAAAAGGGCGAGAGAGAGAGCGAGAGAGACGGGCAGCCACGGCGGAGGCCCCGGCAGCGCCTGGAAGGCAGGACGGGCATCTCCTCACCTCCCGCCAGCAGCAGCAGCAGCAGCAGCAGCAGAGGAAGCGGCCGGGGGAGCCGGAGCGGCCGCCGCCTCTCCCCCGCGGGGTCCCAGGCCGCCATCTTTCCGCCTCCGGAAGCCGCAGCGCGTTCTCTTCCGGAGCCGCTCCCCCGCGATTGGCTGACGGTGGGCGGAGCCATTGGCCGGACCCGGAAGCGAAAGTGCCGGAAATGGGCCGGGGGCGGCGGCGGCGGCCGGGCAGGGAGCGATGCCTGGAGACCTTCGCGGAGGAGCTGGGCGGTGAGCGGGCGGTGAGCGGGCGGCGGGGCGGGCGGGCTTTGGGGCGGGCCTCTAACTCTCCCTGACGCGCCTCCTTTTCTCCGCAGGCTCCTTGGAGGATGGCGGCGGCGGCGGCGGCGGCGGCGAAGACGAGGCGAGGGCCGCGGCCGGAACGCAGCGCCGCCGGTGCCCGCTGGCCATGTGGGACCTGGGCCAGTGCGACCGGCGGCGGTGTACCGGGCGGCGGCTGGCGCGGAAGGGGCTGGTGCGGACGCTCCGCCTGGGGCAGCGCTTCGGGGGCCTGGTGCTCAGCCCCGCCGCCGTCCGCTTCCTCTCGCCCGCCGACAGGTGAGCGCTCGCCTCCCCTCGCCCTGCCTGGGGCCCCGGCTGCAACGCTGGCCGCTCGGCCTTCTTGGGGGGCTTCGTCCGCTAGAGGAGCCCGGTGGAGCGGCTCGGTTGGTGGCCCAACGACGAAAACCTCCCGCAGCAGCCGCTGCTTTCTTAAGCGTCAAGCGGGCCGGCTGCCCCCCTGAAGCAAAAGCTCCTGCGCGGCGTCCCCCCACCTGCTTTTTGTGCCTGGCATCGACTGACTCTTCCAGATTCCCGAAAACCTTCTGAGTTGCTCACACAAACACACACAGAGAGAGAGAGTCCAAACATTTGTGTTACTGATTTTAAAATATTTGAATTTTTGCAATGTTGTTTTCGTGGAGTAATAACTAGGATGGCAGTTTTTCAATCCTGTTTCTTCTTCTGGTAGACTGCAAAATTGATCTGATTTCCTGACAAGCAGCAAAACAGAAATATCCCATATTAAAATGGCAGATGATAATAGGTCAATAAGGCAAAGGCTATAGTGGACAAAGATTGATTAAGAAATATAGACAAATGTACAGATAGTTAGGATTTATGTAAAAATATACTGTCACGGAAGTGTTGCCATGTATATAATGTATATATAAATGATGTATATAAGAAAATTTGTTTAATAAAAATTATTTAATAAAAATAAAACGGCAGATGTATTTTCAGGGAGGTTGTGACCCAGAATGGAGTTGCGGTGATTGACTGCTCTTGGGCAAAGCTGGACAAAACCCCATTTAGCAAGATGAAGGGAAGTCATCTCCGGCTGTTACCCTACTTGATAGCTGCAAACCCAGTGAATTATGGACGGCCATGCAAGCTTACTTGTGTGGAAGCTTTTGCAGCTACCCTCTGCATTGTAGGTGAGCAGCAATAAATATTGTTTTTATTCCTTATCTTACAGATTAGAAGGATATTTATATATACAAATATATATACACATATTTGTAGCTGTTTGTCATGTTAGTGAAAACAAGTTGCTCTGTCAAGCATCATTTCTTTTTATTATTTGCATTGATTTATTACTGATCCCGCCCAAGATTTCTGGGTAGTTACTAATACAAAGTAGAAAGAAATATAATAAAATGCCATCATACATAGACTACCAGAGCACAATCCTTGACCCAGGGATAAGATAAAATATCAAATTCAAAAGCTTCATATGTAAGATTCTTTCAGTAACCTTGACTGAGAAGTATTTTTCACTAAGAAGATATGCAAATTACCTTTGAGGTGTTTGATAGTTGCTGAAGTTATTTTCCTTATTTTAGGACACACTGATCTAGCCACAATTCTTTTGCAAAAATTTAAATGGGGAACAGTGTTTCTTGATCTGAACAAAGATCTCCTGGAGAAATATGCAGCATGTAGTTGTGAAGAAGAAGTGTTAAAGGTTGAGAATGAATTTCTGAACCATGCCCAAGAAAAAGATGAAACAGGTAGGACATCCCAAGTTATGTTATTTTTTTTCTGCTTTGAAAAAAGGGGTGGAATTGAATTGGTTGAATTAGTGACGCTTTTACCCAAGTTTTAAAGTAAACTAAATATCTGGTTCAAGATAAGGGGAGGAAGAAATCAATCATACACAGGGGATAAATAGTCATGTTATTTGGAACATAATATGTTCAAATACGACAATTTGAGTCTGGTCATTTGTGCCTCGAATAATAACACTATTGATATATTCAATTATTTTTTATTTTAATTATTTAATTGTTTATTCTGGTTAACATTTCCAGAAATTTTGATGTAATGAGAAAAAGTAAGGAATCTTTTATTCATTATCCATGAGAAATAATCATAATGGTGAACAAACAACAGATTCCTCGATGGTATCAAGCAGCCATAATAAATGTCATTAATGTTGTATAACTATCCCCAAATACAGGAAGGAGCCCTCTCCCAAGCCCCTTAAATGCCCTCACAAAATTGATGATTTATCCCTGTTCTTTCAATCTCCCAATGGCACATTCATCACTCCTGTATCTGACTCCATCTCTCTTCCTGCTGGGTAACCTCGTCACATCAGCTCATAGTAATATATTACAATAAGGGCCGACAGATTCTCTCTTTTTTTAAGTTGTTACATACACTGCTCAAAAAAATGGAACATAAAAATAAGACATCCTAGATCTGAATGAATGAAATATTCTCATGAAATACTTTGCTCATTACATAGTTGAATGTGCTGACAACAAAATCACACAAAAATTATCAATGGAAATCAAATTTAGCAACCCACGGAGGTCTGGATTTGGAGTTACGCTCAAAATTAAAGTGGAAAAAAAACACTACAGGCTGATCCAACTTTGATGTAATGTCCTTAAAACAAGTCAAAATGAGGCTCAGTAGTGTGTGTGGCCTCCACGTGCCTGTATGACCTCCCTACAATTCCTGGCCATGCTCCTGATGAGGTGGCGGATGGTCTCCTGAGGGATCTCCTCCCACACCTGGACTAAAGCATCCCCCAACTCCTGGACAGTCTGTGGTGCAACGTGGCATTGGTGGATGGAGCGAGACATGATGTCCCAGATGTGCTCAATTGGATTCAGGTCTGGGGAACGGGCGGGCCAGTCCATAGCATCAATGCCTTCGTCTTGCAGGAGCTGCTGACACACTCCAGCCACATGAGGTCTAGCATTGTCTTGCATTAGGAGGAACCCAGGGCCAACCACACCAGCATATGGTCTCACAAGGGGTCTAAGGATCTCATCTCGGTACCTAATGGCAGTCAGGCTACCTCTGGCGAGCACATGGATGGCTGTGGCGGCCCCCTAAAGAAATGCCATCCCACCCCATTACTGACCCACTGCCAAACCGGTCATGCTGGAGGATGTTTCAGGCAGCAGAAGGTTCTCCACGATGTCTCCATACCCTGTCACGTCTGTCACATGTGCTCAGTGTGAACCTGCTTTCATCTGTGAAGAGCACAAGGTGCCAGTGGCAAATTTGCCAATGTTGGTGTTCTCTGGCAAATGCCAAACATCCTGCACGGTGTTGGGCTGTAAGCACAACCCCCACCTGTGGACGTCGGGCCCTCATACCACCCTCATGGAGTCTGTTTCTGACCATTTGAGCAGCCACATGCACATTTGTGGCCCTCTGGAGGTCATTTTGCAGAGCTCTGGCAGTGCTCCTCCTGTCCCTCCTTGCACAAAGGCGGAGGTAGCGGTCCTGATGCTGGGTTGTTGCCCTCCTACGGCCTCCTCCATGTCTCCTGATGTACTAGCTTGTCTCCTGGTAGCGCCTCCATGCTCTGGACACTACGCTGACAGACACAGCAAACCTTCTTGCCACAGCTCGCATTGATGTGCCATCCTGGATGAGCTGCACTACCTGAGCCACTTGTGTGGGTTGTAGACTCCGTCTCATGCTACCACTAGAGTGAAAGCACCGCCAGCATTCAAAAGTGACCAAACCATCAGCCAGAAAGCATAGGAACTGAGAAGTGGTCTGTGGTCACCACCTGCAGAACCACTCCTTTATTGGGGATGTCTTGCTAACTGCCTATGCTTTCCACCTGTTGTCTATTCCATTTGCACAACAGCATGTGAAATTGATTGTCAATCAGTATTGCTACCTAAGAGGACAGTTTGATTTCACAGAAGTGTGATTGACTTGGAGTTACATTGTGTTGTTTAAGTGTTCCCTTTATTTTTTTGTGCAGTGTAGTTGGGAGGGTTCATCAACTGCAGGGTTCCAGCCCTGCCTTAAAGGCCATATTGGCCCCCACCCCTAGCAAAGCTGATGCAGAAAAATTCAGATTTGTTCCTGAAAAATATTTGGCAAATTCTCCCTCTGCCAGCGAAGCTGGTGGTTTATCATTTGTTTGGGATTTATGGATTTAATGTTGAATTTAAATTAATAGTTATTACTTTACTTTAAATTAATTACTTTAAATTACTTTATAATAATAAATAAATTACTTTAAATTAATAGTTATTACTTTACTTTTCTAGTAGGGTGGGGACTTTTAACAGTCTTCTATGTTCCCACTCCAGATCCTTTTGATGTTGATTCAGGAAAGGAATTTTCTATACTCAACGGGCCTTGTAGTACCACACAGTAAGTCTTCTAAAGGATTCCTTTAAGAGTCTCTAGAGATTATTTGTTACAGAGTAACCCTGATCTCTATTTCTTAGAGCAACTGCTGCAGATGAGAGCTCCTCTGAGGAGACCCCTGAGGACAGTGATGACAGCGACAGCAGCAGCGGCAGCGATGAGGACCTGAAAACAGCCTGTTCTGGAGCCAGTAAGTCAGCTGCAGGGAGGCAAAAGAGCATTCCCAAAGAGAAGACGTGTCACTGAATTTAGGAACAAGGTTTTGCTCAGAGTTAAGATATAAACTTGGACAATGTTCTGAAATACTTCATTCAGCCCAAGGGTCTTGTCCATCAACTGAGCTGTTTGATGAACTTCATTAATACTTTGTCAGATAGATTTTACTAATGCAACATCCATATCCCGGTCTTATTTTTTTACTTAGCATCTCAGTTAATTATTATTCCAGGAATTGTTTTTAGACAGTGAAGGAAAAACCAGAAGCAACTTCCTTATATCTGACATCACTACTTTTTGGTCGTTTGCTATTTCAGTTCTTAGTATGTTGAGGATGAATAGTTGATAATAAATGCTCTAAACCAAAAATTACACTGGAAACTGGCTTCTCATTGTTTTTGAAGGGACAGTGAGTGAAACCAAGACCAATTACTCATGTTTATTAGTTCATGTTCATCATCTTGTAGTTGGCTAGTCCCAGGAAATGTAAAAGGAACCAAGCAGGATTGAGTAGAATTGACTTAGTAGGAAATAGAGGAAAGTTGGAAATAAAGAGTTGGAAGGGACCTTGGAAGTCTTCTAATCCACTCCCCTGTTCAAGCTGTACCATTTTAGACAAAAGGTGGTCCAGTCGCTTCTTAAAAGCCTCCAGGGGTGGAGCTTTCAGCTCCAAAGACCCCTTTGGTAAAGGCAGCTGAATATTAACTGCAAAATTAAAGCACTTCCGATTTACATACCTGATGTTTTTATGAAGAAATTGGTACACCCCACCCCCTAGAACATGGATCCAGGAAATTGCAGACCAATCATCTTGACATCAATACCTGTGTAAATCCTGGAAAAGAGCATCAATCACAGTGTGTAGTCCTCAATGGAGCTACATCTACATGGAGGAGAGCATGTCACAGAGTTCGGCCTTTGGCCTGGTGCTCTTCAAAACCTTCATAAATGATCTAAACGAGGGGCTAAAAGGAGAAAACATCAGACTTGCAGATGACACCAAGCTGGGGGAATTGCGTTGGAAGATAGACGCAAGATTCAGAAGGATCTTGACAAACTTGACCTGGGACCTGGGACCTGTCCAATGAAGGTGCAGTTTAGTTATGAAGAAAGTAAGGCCCCGCACTTAAGAAGGAAAAACCAAATGCATAGGTACAGACTAGGAGGCATCTGGCTCAACAGTAGAAATAGTGAGGGGTTTAAGTGTCCTGGTGGATCACTGCTTAAATATGAGTCAGCAACACTGATCACTGCTAAAAATGCCATTCTAGGCTGATTCAGCAAAGGGATGACGTCACGATCATGGATTTGATAGTTCTGCTTTATACTGCATTGATGAGACCTCACTTGGAATCCAGTTTTGGTGATCCCAATTCAAAAAAGATGCAGAGCCCCTGGAGATAGTGCAGAGAAGAGCAACAGAGAGAAAGCGCCTCAAAGCTAAATCTTACAATGAACAGCTAAGGGAACCAAGTACGTTTAGCCCAATAAAGTGAAGGCTCAGGGGAGACATGATAGCAGTCTTCCAATACTTGAAGGCTACTACAGGAAAGAGGGCATCAAATTATTCTACACAGCACCTAAGGGCAGAGGAAGCAATGGGTGGCTGAGCAGAGTGAGATTTAACCTGGAAATGAGGAATTTCCTGACAAAACCATCATTGGAACAGCTTGCCTTCTGGAATTGTAGGTGCTCCATTGTTGGAGGTTTTCAAGGAAAGGTTGGACAATCATTTGTCTAGGGTGGTATAGAGACTTCTGCCTTGGGCAATGGATTGGCCTAGAAGACCAAGATTCCTTCCGATCCTAGGATTCTGTGAGTCATATACCCACAGTCCCTTATTTATGGAGCCCGGGGGCGCAATGCAGAGGGAACTGAGTTATAGTTCTGAAATGACTCTCAAAATGCTGACCTTGGAGGCTGGATGGGGCTGGATGTGAAGAACAAACTGGAGCTCAAGAGCAGGGGATAATAGTGGCCACTTCTGGCTCATAAGTTCTTCAAAAAGTGCCTTGGTCATCTTGTGATTGGATTGCTAGTCTGGGACCACCCCTGAAGACCACTTGGAAGCCACAGCGAGTCCACAATACAGCAGTATAGGCAGCCATGAGTAGATCACAATATATGCACCGGTTACTGTTTGGTTTCTGGTGCAATTCGAGGCACTGGTGAAAGCCCTTTGTGAGCTAGGTAGCCCTAGAGCTACCCAAAGGAATTGCCTAGTGAGGTCAGAGTAGACACGCTCCGGGTCCTGTTTTTAGCAGGGCCCAGAAAGCATGATGGCGGCTCCTGCTCTGGAATGATGTATACCTGGAAATCATAGTCTTCCCCAGGCTATTGATTTTTCACAACTTGCTGAAAACTCTTCTCCGGGCCTTGGAATTCAATATGTTCCAGTCATCTTGTCTCTTTTTTGATATTTTAATTTTACTTCATTGTGAACCACCCAGAGTTGTGTGGTCTGAAAACTGTAATAGGAAGTAAAATACTGCATTGTAAGATGCTAATAAACCTTCTTTACTCGACTCCAGTGTGATACTCGGAGGGATCTTTCTACTGTCTGGTGCAGGGGTGTCAAACTCACGTCATCACATGGCATATTGAGACTTCCCCCCTCGCTAAACCGGGCGTGGCCAGGGCGTGATACATCCGGCACGCAGGCTCTGCGTGACACCCCTGCTCTGGTGCCTAATTTGGCTGAAGGTACTAGAGATAAGCCTTTCCTTACCAATCCTATAAAATTGGCTTTTTAAAAAGGCATAATATTTGCTATAGCGAACAGCCTTTTTTCTGCCTTGCAAACAGCTATTAGAGCCAACATTAATTTTAGCATAAAATTTTATTCCTGGGCTTTGGAATAGGGCAAATAGCTGGAGCCCATATGGTTATGGACTGAATTTCTCTCAGGGTTTTTTAAACATCTCAATTACTTTATGATTTCCTAAACTTGCTTTGAAATATATTTTGTATTTGTATATGTTGGCCTGGAGATGCTGCTTAATTGAACAGGAATTCATAAATGATTAGGAACAATGCTACTTTTTTATTTTTCCTTTTGTGCGTGAAAAACAACACAGAAAAGATGTAGAGTTCTCTAGAAAGTTCCTGCCATGGAATGATAACTCTTGCAGGTTTTTAATGGCTTTTTGCTTTTTTCAGTGAACAGATATTAACCTATATTTAATACAGACATTATTTATAGTTTAAAAAGAGATTACATAGCAAGTTCCTGACCTAACCATAAAAACTTTTTTTGTAAACTGTCAGAGAATGTAGTAACCTCAATACAAAATTTAACATTTCTCATTTTTTCAAACATTTCTGTTCTTTCCATCACTGTGCAACCATATACAATTTAACTGCATTTTAAAGATGTATGAAAAGCACTGTTAAAATACTTAAAAACTCCTGGACCTGCTGGTATGGCTTGCCGACAGCTACAGCAGACAAAGCCATCTACTGAGGGTCAGCAAGCGTTCACCCGTGTTTAACTGAAACTATGAAACTACTCCACATCAGGTTGTGCTATCTGCACTGCAGAGCAGCTATTTCTCCAGAAGTGGTGTAATAGCGAAGAAATGGGGAAGAAAGCGAGACAAAAAACTTTATAGAAACAGTTTATTTACTCTAAACAGCAACACAGACAAAACTCCATGAACACAAAGGAGGTGATGCAGAATCAAGATGCGGCTGACTTTGGATCCAAGGCATTTATGCAACAATCTAATTCCTTATTGGTAGAAAACAAAAGGAAATAAATGGAGGACATGGTTTTTTTTTCTTACCAACCAAGTAGAGGCCAAAAAACAAAACAAAAAAAACAACCCCCCCCCCCCCCCAAAAAAAACATTTTAAAGCGTGCCTGCATCTGAGAGCAAAGAAACTAGAGATACTAGTGAATTTATAGAAGTATAAAAGTTTATAGTTTACAGCAGTTGAAATACTGACATCAATATTAAAATAAAAGCAAGTTTTACATAACAATCAAAAATACAAAAGACTGAAGGAAGAGACCCTGTATGAAAAACTGGGGACAATTGAGCAAGTTTAGAACTGTATACAAGTGGTGAATATGGAAAATGGCACACATATAATCCCTTCCCCTAAATGACTATTAATTGTACATAGCGACATTAGATTTGCAAAAGTTTTGTAAACAAGTTCTTGCCAATTAATCCCTTCCTTTAAAGATGTGGATGACAGGAGCTTATGATGGAGCAAACTTCTTGGCTTGTGCTCGAACCCTCTTTTCATATTCCACTCTGTTTTGGCTAAATGTAGAGAAAAAAAAAGCTAACGATTCTCAAAGATCAGAATCCATAAAGTGTTCTAGATCAGATTCTCCCTAGCACAGAACCCCACAAAAATCAAACTGTTGGTATTTTAAGTGAATTTTCACTGTTTCCCTGGAGATGGAAATTATGCAGGAGTTACAGGCTAGGACACAAGTACAAACACTTTAGAGCACACCTCTCAAGAATTTTGATATGAATGAACAGTTTGAATGTCATCTGTTTCAGATGCAAAATCAGTATCAGACTGAATGCAATTATTTATAATAATGAAGTAATTTAAGAATGGGAAAGAGGTGATAAGAGGCACAGGGATTCTAAAGGGGAGGAATCTCCAAAAACCAAACCAAAAGCCACTTCATTCTGAACCGATGACCCTAATGACTCAGAGACAATGTTTTCTCATGTCCCAAAGGCTTTTGGCAGCAACTTCTTTATTCATGAGGTAGAAAATGGGTCTCAACTCTTTCTAATTGTGAACACCAACAGTCTACTAGCATGCAGCTTTTCCATGGAAAATATGCTTAGACTAGCTCATAATTTCAGAAAATAATTAACTGCTTCAAATTTTTTTAAAGTTTTGTTTTCAAATGAATAAATTGTGTTTCAGACATTTTGCTAAACCATTCTGGATAGATTGCAGTTCAGCTGAACCTGTTAGGAATGGTTAGAATTCAGGTTAGCCTATCTCAATAGCCACAGCCCTTAGCCTTTATCTACCTCTCCAGAGGGCTTTCCAGCACTCCCTGGGCAGTTCCCAATGTCAGCCCATTGCTCCCCAACAATCCAGCTCCTCTTCTTACTGACCTCGGAAGGCTGAGTCAACCTGTCAAGTCTGTCAGAATTGAACTCCTGGCTGTGGGCAAAGTTAGCCTGCAATACTGCATTCTAACCACTGTGCCACCAGTGTGTATAATTGTGTATATGTAATATAATTATATACAAATATAATTTGTACATAATACAAATCCAGCGTATTATAAAGGTATTCATGTAAACTTTTACTGATGAGGTTGAAAGCCAATTATCGGTAGAAAATTATTCATTTACCAAATGTATATGCTGGTTAAAATGCTAAACATTAATAAAACATCCATTCAAACTGAAGTCCAGTAACATCAAACCATACGAGCACTTTCCAATATATTTTTAAAAGTAATATTTCAACAGAAACCCTTTCATAACACCTGCCTGTATAATTACTCAGTCATAACAGTAACACTTATTTCCCAAAGACTGCCAAAGTGCAGTATTTCAATTGCCTCCTGAATATTGGCAGGGAGGGAACCATTGTAGCCTCTAAAGGCATGGAATTTCAGAACTTAGGAGCCACCACAAGGTTATTATGCTGCATTTGTTAAAAAGCATAACTTTCCCTCTCTTTACCCTTCCCTCCCATTATATAAAGTAACTGAGTTTAATAATCATAGTTTGCGGCAGGGGATTGAAACTTGGAATTTTTGCAAGCAAGATAATAGCTGTGGAGGGTAAACCAAAGACAGAATATAATTAGAAGCAGGAAGTGCTGGAAGGAGGTTGTAATGGGATTTCTTGCATAACCTGAATCCTTGAAATTCTAGAAATTCAGACTATTTGGGCGCCCCCGGAGGAACCAGGCTTTGCCTGAATAATGGTTTGCCTGCTGGAGAAAACCCAATCTGGAGTGAAGGAGTGCAGGGTACATGGTCAATTTGGATTAAGAACCAGAACTGCCACCTGGATTTTCGCCTTAAAAAATCCACACTTGGTGCTCTTCCCTTCCATTCCATGCTCAAGCCTACTCTCTCAGGATGGTCTAATTTCTCCACGTAGCCACTTCCCAACAGTTCTGCTGGACATCTTATTACCCCACTTGCATCTCTGATATTTATCTTGGGATTCTGCCCATCAATGCCTCAGGGAGAATGCCTCTCTACCCCTGCATGTTAAAGGAGCTCTGGGCATTGCCTTACTTTGCCTTTGTAAAGGAAATTTTAAAAGGGCCCTTGATTATCTACATTTATACAGATTAGGGAGGAATCCACATTATGCCTGTGCAGATTTACCTGCTAAAAAATTAGGAATGAGTGCAAGAACCCAGGTGAGAAGCCTGGGATCAAATACATTGGCTGGGTTAAAGGCAACAGGCACTCCCCATCCACCTGATGCTTCAGTGCTCTGGTCCTGTGATCTAACTTCTTTGGTGGTGGCAAATTACATTCTAGATGAGCAATATTATAAGAGGCTCCTCCCTAGAAGAGGCCCAGGAAACAGAATACAGGTAGTCCTCAACTTACCACAGTTCATTTGGGGACTGTTCAAAGTTACAATGGCACTAAAAAAAAACTTATGACCATTTTTCACACTTATGACCATTGCAACATCCCCAGGGTCGTGCAATGCTTGACAACTGACACACACTTATGACAGCCAGTGTCCTGGGGTTGTGTGATTTCCTTTGCGACCTTCTGACATGCAAAGTCAATGGGGGAAGCCAGATTCACTTAACAGCTGAGTTACCAATTTAACAGCTGTTGGGATTCACTTAACAACCGTGGCAGGAAAGGTTGTAAAATGGGGCAAAACTCACTTAACAAATGTTTCATGTTTTGGGCTCAGTTGTGATTGTAAATCGAGGACTGCCTGTAGCAAACTGGCAGGAGGAAAGAACCCCAGAACACTTTCCCTCTTCCAGGTTTGGGGGGGAGCGTCTTACGCCATGACGTTATTCTTCGCTTTGCTTTCTGAGTGTTAAGACCGAAAACCTCCTCCTATAAGCATTTTGTTCTCATATTTCGTATGACTTTGGATGATGACTGTTCTGCACTTACACGATTTTATTTGCACTGTTTCCTGTTTTATTACTTTGGTCCCGTTTAATATCATTTATTGTTGCACTGCAAACCACAGTCAGTTGGCTTGTAAGAAGTATGGAGGTATAAATGTAACAGTAAATAATTTCTCTGTCAAAATCTGCAACTGAAGAGGATGCCTGCTTGAGGAGGGAAGGGAGGGAGATGGTTCTGGGGGTCCTGAAGGAGGCAAGGGCCCACCCCTGTCAGAAGAGGCCATCCTTTCCCAACAGCCTTTGTACCTCAGATAAAATCTTTTTTTAGAATGTACCTAAGTATACACACACACACGTGTGTATACACACACACACACACACACACACACACACACTCCTGACATATTATGCAATACCACATGCAGCTCCAAGAGGGAAGGTGTCTCCACACCTGTCTAAAATGGCTTAAAATGGAGCCCTTGTTCCAAGAGCAGCAGAAAATGAATCTGTTCCGTTACCTATTTGAATTTTTAAGAGGATAGTGAAAATGAAAGGAAATTAGACACAGGTAGTCCTTGACTTACAACAGTTCACTTAGTGACCGTTCAAAGTTACAACGGCACTGAAAACGGCACTGATTTATGACCATTTTTCACACGACTGTTGCAGCATCCCCAGGGTCAGGTGATGAAAATTCAGACCCTTGGCAACTGACTCGTATTTACGAGGGTCGCAGTGTCTCGTCATCCCCTTTTGCTGCCTTCTGACAAGCAGAGTCAATGGGGGAGCCAGATTCACTTAACTCACCAGGTTGCTCACTTAACAAATGCAGTGACTCACACAACATCTGTGGCAAGAAAAATCATAAAATGGGGGCAAAACTCACTGAACAAATGTCTCACTTAGCAACATACATTTTGGGCTCAATTGTTGGTCGTAAGTGGAGGACTACCTGCAATTCAGAGACCTAATATGTGAAAAGATGAAACCAAATTTAATCTCAAATTCGATCTATATTTGCTATTAAAAAAAAGAGTTGAAAGGCAACTCACCAGTAGATTGTGTAAGCCTCTGCTTGAGCCGGGTCCTGGATATTTGGTTCATTTAGGAGTTCTTGAATTCCTAACAAGATCTAAGAACACAGAACAAGAGAAGCATCGCTGTAGACTTTCACCTTGCAAAATCATAGATTAAAATCAGATGTGTATTTTCATCAAGGTGTTAAATACTTACCCTCAATTGTTAATTGTGAATTTAAAATATTAAGAAATCATTAGGTCTTACAGGCATACAATTGAGGGCATTTGAATCAATATAGTATGATGCATAAACATGACCCATGTTCTAACAAAATGCATACTTGTTTAATTGTGATTGCAGGCCTCCAATCCTTATCCTCTTCTAAGATAGACAGACAGACTGTGCCTGAAGGATACACGTTTGGATGGAATAAGGGTGGCTCAAATTTGCCTAGAGAAAGGAAAACTTGGTTCAGATACAAGGCTTTGGAGAAACACTTTTAAAAGCTAGCAGGGCTTCAGTCAATGCTTGGGAGCAAGAATATGCCCTTTGCTTCTATACCCAATTTAAACTCCCTTCTCTGAAGTAAACCAATTTAATTTCCTTTGTAATCACTTAGATCTTAAGGACTATAACTGATAGTGTCCCCTCTTGAATCCTCTGAATAAGCTTTTTTTTAACCAAATTTATTTTAAAAGAGCACTAGTAACTTAAAGACAATAGGAAAGAATCCCAAAGGGGAAAAAAACAAAAAGAAGCTGAAATTCAAATATGAAAGGTGGCAATTTTTAAAAAACACACCTAATAGTATTTGTTCCATGCACCAAAGTATTTATTCAAGCACTCGGACTCTGAACAAATTAACAAAATGAAAAATCTCAAACATCCATTGGAAAGAAATACATCCCTCCAAGAAGAGACAAACACAAAACAGCAGAGCTTCGCCAGTTGCTGAAAAGTGAATTTCGGAATCTCTGGCCATGTAAAACTCCAGTCAGCGAGTCATTACAAAAGAAAGGAAGCAGCCAATTTCTGAGATGGGAGATTTTGCAGCAGCGGGAGTGCTCTCCATCAGGGGTCTGGCTGGGGGATTCTGGGAGTTGAAGTCCTCCAGGCTTAAAGGGGCCGCGGTTGGAGACCCCTGCTCTAAAGGATGCAGCGCTTGGAAGCCCCTCCAAGCCTGAGGTAAAAAGGGTCCCGGCTTCTGGAAGGGGAAACGGTTTCAGGGAGCAGGAGAGGAAAGGAGGACCAGGGACTCAGAACCGACCAACTTCTTGGGCTTCTCCCCTTCGGAGGCCAGCGGGCGGGGGAGGCAAAGGAGCCCACCCGGATTACCTCAGCCGGGTCCACCCAGGCAGGGGCTCCCCTTCCGTGGGGGGGGGGGGGGGGGCATGGGGGGCCCCCCCCCCCCCCCGCCAGTTCGCTAAGCCTGTTCCGGCCTTGCAAGGCCCCGAGACGCTCCGAGGCTCCCCAGACTTACATTTCGGCGGCGAGGAGGGATAGTCGTCCTTGAACAGCATCCGTAGCTTGAACAGGCCGCCTTCCCACGGGGTCTGCGGGGAGGGGGGGGAAGCACAAGGGAGGCGACCGGTGGCCCACAGCGCTTTGAGACGCCGCTTCCCGGGCTCTTTCCGCCTCAACCGCAGACTTTCCCTCCCCCGGGAACCGCCTCCCGCCCCCCCCCCCCCCCTCCCGGGAGCCTCCCAGGGCCGCGGGGGCGAGCGGACAAAAGGGACCGGCGGGCGGGCCGCTTTCTTACCCCTTTCTTGCCCGGAATCGCGCACTCCCAGTTCATGAGGTTCATGGTGCCGTCGGGGTTCTTGGTGGGCACCGCCACGAAGCCCTGCAAGGAGCCGGAGGTTAGCCGCGACGCCCGCCCGCCCGCCCGCCCCGCCGCCCTCGCCCGCCCGCCCCCGCCACTTACGAACGGGTGGTCCTTCCTCCAAGCCTTCCTCTCCTGCGCCAGGCGGCTGAGCGCGATCCCAGACATGGTCGACGGACTCTGCGACACACAAAGGCGGCCGGTGAACGTCGGGCGGCCTGCGGGGGACCCCGGGAGGGAAGGCCGAGCGCCGCCGGGTCCCGACTGACCTTGAGAGGCGGCCGCGCGGGTCGGCCCCCCCCCCGCAGCGGGCGCGATCCCCTCTGGGCCTTACCGTGAAGCGCCCCGGAGGCGGAGGCGGCAGCGGCAGCAACCCCCGCGCGTGTCCCGGATTCAGGCGGCGGCGGCGAATGACCCGGATGTTCCCTGCCCGCCTCCCCCCCTTTTGTCTGAAACCCGGCCTTTCCCTCGCAGAAAACGGAGCGCGTCAGCACGGCCTGTCCCTCGGCGCGACCCGTCTGCGAGACAGCGCCTGCGCCGAGAGCGCGAAGCCGAACGCCGCAGCGCGGGACGCTCTTAGGCCACGCCTCCAGCTCCGGCAGACAGCGGCCAGCGGGCTGGAAGCCGGAAGGGGCGGGGTCGGCTCCGCGGCTTTTCCTGAACGCCACCCGGCAGGCCCCGCCCCCTGCGTCCCCCTCACGCCGCGGCCGGGCTTTGCAGGCCCGCGCCCCTCTCCGGCTGGCCGATTAGCCGCTCTCCGCCCGGGGCGGATCCAGAGGCGGAGTCGCGATCCGTCCGAGTGGCGGCTCTTAGCCACGGAGAGAGCCGGGGCCCGGGGCGGCGCTGACCAAGCGGGGGATCCATGGCTGCATTCAGGGACCCGAATCGAGAGCTGGGGGGGGGGGGGGGGGTTGCCGGTTTTTATCCCGGGATCACCTGCGATTAAAAACGACTTAACGGAAGAAAAGGATAAAGGAGGACAAGAACGGCATGGGTCAGAATTGTTGTAAGAGGCTTGGGCGGGGGGTGGACTAGATGACCCACAAGGTCCCTTCCGACTCTTATTCCATTATTAACGGCAGGCCGGACTCTCGCTCTCCGTCCCGACGGCCAAGGCTTGAGCAAGGCAGGCCTCTGGGTCTCCGGGGAGCCTGGTTTCCAGAAGGCAGGTGCGCTTTGGGGGCGGCCGGAGGGCATTGCAGGCAGGATCGAATTGGCCAGGTGGCTGTCTCAGGAGCCGCAAGCAGGGTGGGCCTTTCACCCTGAATTGCACCCCTGGCCGGTCCAGCTCACGAAGCACTGTCGCCTTTGGCACCAGGTGAAGCTTCTAGGTGGTCTTCAAGGACAGCCCCACACACAGGGCATTACTGCAGTCAAGTCTTTAGATGCCAAGCGTGAGCGTCCGAAGGGTGCATCAGATTAACAGAGTTGGAAGGGACCTGGTAGGTCATCTAGTCCAAACCCTGCCCCCAAGCAGGAGACCCTACACTATTTGTGACAAATGGCAGTCTATCCTCTTCTATATACTTGTGCAACCTTGTTGGTTTATGATTTTGGTCAACAAACTACTGAAGGGCTCAGAAATTGGATAGCAACTATTGTAGAGGTATTGGCCAGAATCCTTGCAAGGGAAGTGGACCAGGAGTAGAGATGTGGGGAAACTGCAGAGTCTGTACCCAAGCTGGTTCTTCTACAAGACATAGAGGGCCCACAAAATGCAGTCTTGAAGTATTTTTATCCATATTTGAGGATAATAAAAAAACAACTATTGGGAACACTGAGAATGGGCCAGAGTTCATAGGTAGTACAGGTAGTATTTGACCTGCTACCTCAACTGATCCCAAGATTTCTTTTGCTAAGTGAGAAAGTTGTTAAGTGAGTTTTGCCCCCTTTACAATCTTTTTGCCCTGGCATGTTAAACGCTGCAGTTAAGTTAGTAATACATTTGTTAAGTGACTTTTGTTTCCCCACTGACTGCTTGTCAGGTCACAAAAGGTGATCACATTACTGGGACACTGCAATGATCCTCAATATGAGCCCAAGTATCCCAATTTTGATCATGTGACCATGGGAATGCTGCAATGGTTATAACTGAAAAAATGGCCATAAGTCACTACCTTCAGTGCTATTGTAACTTCAAACTGTCACTAAACAAATTTTTGTAAGTTGAGGACGATCTCTATCATCCTTGCATGCAAAAGATCCCCGAATTGATCCCTGGATGGATTGGAAACCATCCTGTATATAAAGATCAACAAGATTGAGTATTCCGTGAAGGTTTGAACATGTATTACCAGACCAGAGACTTAGCCACTCCATCCACACGTGTAGAATTGTTAGTTTTAACCTTAACTAAAAGCTTTTGAAGCTTAGTACATTATTTGTGAAGCTTAGCTTCACTTTGTCAACCCAGAAAATGGTTTAATTTAACCAAATTGCCTTTATTCTGTTGCTCCATCACAGAGAAAAGCAAATCTTTTCCTGCTATCGTAAGAAAATGGTCTTCCTGAATAGACTCATTCTGGTTGCTCTCATTTAATAAGACACCATCTGGCTTTCTTAAGGGGGGTGGGATCACAAGTACTGTATGATATCACTTGCCACTCTTACACCCTAGGAATAGTGTAGTTCTGTCTTGTTCTTGGTGAATCCTGGGCCTGGTGTCCCAACACACCAGTTGAGATCTCAACGATCCTTCAGGACTAGAGTTTATAATAGGCTTTGGCATTCAGGATAGATGGGTCACCATTGTTGAGAGTGATGAAAGTCAAGCTGAAGAAAAATGATATTTGGAATGAGAGGTTTTCTTGAGGAAAAGAACCAGCCAGAGTTATTGCTTGAGAACCCCTCAGAAAGTGCCAATAGAACTGATCCAAAAGGCTTGATCTCTATAGATTTCCACTGATTGTTTAGATCCTGTCTTCACTTGGTGTTAAGGAACTATGGCCTTCTGATAAGCAGGTAACTTGTAGCTGATAACTTTCTACCGATTCCACAATATTTCTTTGCCACATTCAAGTCTCAAAATGTGGGCTCCGTAAGCTAAAATCCAGTCAGACTAGGGAGGTCCTACCTCATGTGAGAACTTTCACAGCCTGTTGGGAAAAAGAATCCTACCGATCTTCAGACAACTTTCTCTTCTGCTGTTTTTGTTCTTTTATTGAGCACCATGGTTATCTTGTGCCTTAGCCATGCGTTATATCAGCTTAAGGGGACACACTACATGATATTAAAGCATTTAAAAAAGCATTTAGCCTTCACTGTCAAAAATAAAATAAATGCAAAAGTTAGACCAAACAACTGAAAAGAGGAACAGGTTTGCTAACACCCATGTTTATCATTCAGAATCCAGAATCAGTGTGGATGCCTTCAAAGACAAGTGTCAAGTTATTAAAACCTACCCAATTCCCTTGGTAAGGCCCATCAACTTTCTATAACAGTGTTTGTTGAAATGTGGAAGACAGCGTGGGATGAGACTACCATAAAAGAGTGATAATCAATGGTTAATGGATTATTTTAAACTGGTTTTTCCAGGAAGCTAAGCATCATGCCCTATATTAACATTACATAGTCTTGAAAAATACAAAGAAAAATTCCATGCTTTTTAGGTTATTTTGATGATATAATTTCCAAGATATAAACTTTAAATTCTGATGCTATATTGTTCATATACTACTCCCACCCCCACCCCCAACTCAGCAAGAAGTCACACCAAAATGAGCGCAAAGGAAGTATTGCCTGGATTTAAAATCCTCCATAAGAATAGCCCTAATGCTGGAAGTTTCTGAACTCTTCAAAAGGGAATCGGTATCGGTCAACATTCCCGTCACCTCTCGGCTCTTGCAAGGCAATCTTCAGAAATGGCAAGGGGGCAACCTCACTCATTCCAAAGCCAACCCTTGAGCTCGTGCTGAAGGGGACACAACAGAGGGGCGAAGAGGGGCTCCCCCTGCCCCATCCTGGGCTGGGCTGCTATCCCCTTTCAGGCTGGCATTGAATGATAACGAGCTGGCTAATTACTAATACCTTCAAGGGGTTCAAAAAGAGGGGTTCATACGCACACAAACCTGTTTCTCAGTACTTCTCAATGCAATACTCCTTTCAGGGGGAAAACTGGCGATAGATATAAAAGCCCAGATGTGAAACATGGACTCCTCAATAGGAATCGCTCAAGGAGTCTGTGTGTAGGTACAGCTGTCCTATGTAATTACACTTCAATCAATTCGGCATCTTTCAAAAGTACTGAGAAGGCCTTGTAATCTTCTGTGCTGCTTAATGCCATCTCCAGACTGGAGGCTAGAAAATGTAACCAACTTGCCCGTTCTTTTGGGCCCAAAGATTTAATCAAATGCAGGCAGACAAGATACATTTGAGACAGTACATGTCAATTATTAAAAAGTATTACATAAGTTGTTTAATGAAAGTTTAAAATATGGGTAGGATGCTATAAAGTCTCAAACAAGCAGGGACTCCTCTCTAAGGGAACCAAGAGAAGTTTGAAGTCAATTCCTCTCTAAACTATTCTGAAAGGCTTGCCAAGGGTTCCATTTAAACACAGTGCTCTAAAAAGATCCAGTTGTGTTTTTTCACATTTACTAGAAGCTTCTCTTAATGAAACTATGGTTCGTTTTGACAGTATTTGCCAAAACATTAGAAAGAACTGCATAGATAAGAATATAGAAATAACTGTAAACATCTGTTTAAGAATCAGAAGAATTCCTACTTTCTGATGCATAAATTCTATGCTTTCGGGCACACAGACCTTCCTTCCCGACCCTCTGCACCGAGCAGCCATTGAGACGAAAATCTGAGGCCTAACTTCAGCTTCACCACTATCAATATTTGCAGATCTTTTTGAAAAAACATGGTGGATAGCCATGCATTTGAAAGGCAAGATGTCGTATCATTTGTAAACAAAACTGGTCTTCAATCCTTAAGGGTAGTCAAACTGAATGCTGACATTGGTAAGATCAAGATCAACCTGAAGGCCAACTCTAGAAATGCAGGCAAAAGAGGCTTCTCCCCTCTGGCTAATAAAGGGAGCAAGGGGAACAGGGGAGAGGAATTAGGGAGGAAATACACATTTCATTTATCCCAACAGAGGAATACTTATTCCCTAAAACATTCTTACATGAGAACCGCAAAGGAATGTATAGGAGAAGTCCACAGAGGCTGCTAGTAACAGAGGCCTGTATACGGACTGGAGTAGCACCAATAAGTTGTCCTTGAACCACCTGCAGGAACTAAGCTCCCAATCGCTTCCCACAAACCAGCAGAGCTCCCTCTGGCCGGCACTGGAGAAAGTGCTGCAGCTCTGCAGGGCGGAAGCTGAGAGTAAAGCCGAGTCCTTCCGTGGAATCACCTTCCGCACAACCAGGGATCAGAAGGAAGCAGGCAACGCAGGCCTGCTCCGGCCACAGCATTTTCAAAAGTTATACATCCATCTTGTCTGCACAAGAGACGTCCGCTTGGCGCCAAGCCTCTTCGTGTGGTGATGCAAATAAAACAACCTTCTGCATTCAATACTGTGACACAACTACA